ATTCAAGTTCTTCCTGGTTTAGTCCTGGGAGGGTGTATGTTTCCAGGAATTTATCTATTTCTTCTAGACTTTCTGGTTTATTTGCACAAAGGTGTTTATAGTATTCTCTGATGGTAGTTTGTATGTCTGTGGGATACAAAATATAGTTTATAGTATTCTCTGATGGTAATTTGTATTTCTGGTTATTCACAGGATGAATCTCCAAGGTTTCTTATCTGTCTACTCCTTCCTCCATTCATTTTACATTTGTGGTAAAGTTATTTCTTTATCATCCCTTACCTTTCTCCATTAGTCTTTGACAACTGCTGGGCCATTTTTCACTCTGTCTTCCTAACTCCAGTATCTTTATGTTTACTGAAAGATCTATTTTGTTGATCTTTTCAAAAAACCGGCTCCTGGATTCACTGATTTTTTTGAAGGGTTTGTCATATCTCTCTCTCCTTCAGTTCTGCTCTCATCTTAGTTTTTGCTTGTCTTCTGCTGGCTTTTGCATTTGTTTGCTCTTGTTTCTCCAGTTCTTTTAATTGTGATGCTAGGGTGTCAATTTTAGATATTTCCTGCTTTCTCCTGTGGGTATTTAATGCTATAAATTTCCCTCTATACACTGCTTTAGCTGTGTCCCAGAGATTCTGGTATGTTGTATCTTTGCTCTCATTGGTTTCAAAGAACTTATTTATTTCTGCCTTAATTTCATTATTTATCCAGTAGTCATTCAGAAGCAGGTTGTTCAGTTTCCATGTAGTTATACAGTTTTGAGTGAGTTTCTTAATCCTGAGTTCTAATTTGATTTCACTGTGGTCTGAGTTGTTATGATTTCTGTTCTTTTGCATTTGCTGAGGAGTGTTTTACTTCCAATTATGTGGTCAATTTTAGAATAAGAGTGATGTGGTGCTGAGAAGAATGTATATTCTGTTACGTTGGAGTGGTGAGTTCTGTAGATGTCTTTTAGGTCTGCTTGGTCCAGGGCTGAGTTCAAGTCCTGAATATCCTTGTTAATTTTCTGTCTAATATTGACAGTGGGGTGTTAAAGTCTCCCACTATTATTGTGTAGGAGTCTAAGTATGTCTCTAAGAACTTGCTTTATGAATCTGGGTGCTCCTCTATTGGGTGCATATATATTTAGGATCATTAGTTCTTTTTGTTGCATTGATCCCTTTATCATTACATGATGCTCTTCTTTGTCTTTTTTGATCTTTGTTGGTGTAAAGTCTATTTTATCAGAGACTAGGATTAAAACCCTCCTTTTTTCCTTTCTATTTGCTTGGTAAATATTCTTCCATCCCTTTATTTTGAGCTTATATGTCTTTCCATATGAGATGGATTTCCTGAATACAGCACACTGATGGGTCTTGACTCTTTATTAAATTTGTCAGTCTGTGCCTTCTAATTGGGGCATTTAGCCCATTAACATTTAAGATTAATATTGTTATGTGTGAATTTGATCCTGTCATTATGATCCTAGATGCTTATTTTGCCCATTAGTTGATACACTTTCATCATAGCATCAATGGTCTTACAATTTGGCATGCTTTTGCAGTGGCTGGTACCTGTTGTTCCTTTCCATGTTTAGTGCTTCCTTCAGGAGCTCTTCTAAGGCAGGCCTGGTGGTGGCAAAATCTCTCAGCATTTCTTTGTCTGTAAAGGATTTTATTTCTCCTTCACTTATGAAGCTTAGTTTTGCTGGTTATAAAATTCTGGGTTGAAAATTATTTTCTTTAAGAATGTTGAATATCGGCCCCCACTCTCTTCTGGCTTGTAGGGTTTCTGCCGAGAGATCTGCTATGAGTTTGATGGGCTTCCTTTCATGGGTAACCTGACCTTTCTCTCTGGCTGTCCTTTACATGTTTTCTTTCATTTCAACCTTGGTGAATCTGACAGTTATGTGTCTTGGAGTTGCTTGTCTCAAGGAGTATCTTTGTGGTATTCTCTGTATTTCCTGAATTTGAATATTGGCCTGTCTTGCTAGGTTGAGGAAGTTCTCCTGGACAATATCCTGAAAAGTGTTTTCCACCTTGGTTCCATTCTCCTCATCACTTTCAAGGACCTTAATCAAATGTAGGTTTGGTCTTTTCTCACAGTCCCATATTTCTTGGAGACTTTTTTTGTTTCTTTTCATTCTTTTTTCTCTAATCTCATCTTCATGCTTTATTTAATTAAGTTGATCTTCAATCTCTGATATCCTTTCTTCTGCTTGATCAATTAAGCTATTGATACTTGTGTATGCTTCACAAAGTTCTCATGCTGTGTTTTTCAGCTCCATCAGGTCATTTATGTTCTTCTCTAAACTGGTTATTCTAGTTAGCAATTCCTCTAACCTTTTTTCTGGGCTGGAGTGCCCTATTTCTCAGGGCACAGTCCCTCATGGCTTCCCTTGGCTAAGGGAGGGAGTTCCCCAACCACTTGCACTTCCTGGGTGAGACACCCCACCCTGCTTTGACTCACTGTACATGGGCTGCACCTGCTGTCTAACCAGTTCCAATAAGATGAGCCAGGTAACTCAGCTGGAAATGCAGAAATCACCTACCTTCTGCACTGATCTCACTGGGAGCTGCAGATCAGAGCTGTTCCTATTCAGCCATCTTGCCAGCCAGCCTACATTGTTCTTTTATAGGTAATCTGTATGGTTGTTTTTGTTCTCTCTGAGAAATTTTAGAATTGTATTTTTATTTTTATCTAAATTTGCACCACAGTGTGTTCTGTGTTACATATATTCTGGGTAATCTCCTTGACTGTTTCTTCTATTTCACTAATTGTTTCTTAAACTGTGTTTAATCAACTGTTTATCCCATCTATTACCTTCTTAATTTTAGTGATTGTATTTTTTATATCTAGAACTACTCTTTTTACATTTTTAATCTGTTTTTTAAAACATTATTTTATTTCTTTTTATGTTTTTAGTGCTTTTTAATTTTCTTTATTTATTTTACACATAATTATTTTATAGTCTGTATCTGCTTTTACTAATGGAAACTCTTGGAAATCTAATTTCACTGTATGTTTCTTTGGATGATGCTCTTGGTGGATTACAAAGAGCATCTGTTTGTGTGGGTTTGTCAGTGTGTGTTACAATTTTGTATTATGAGCTCATATTTGGCATGGCTTTATCACACAGAATTCTGGTTGGTCTGGTTTTGAAGGTGTGTTCCTCTATAGAGCTTTTACATTTACTTATTCCTGGCAGCCTTCAAGTATTAACAAGCATGGGATGCTTATTATTTTAGTATTTTAGCTAGCAGAAAGGATAAATTCAAACCCCAAACCAAGGTCAGAGAAGAACAGACTTTTTTTTTTTTAACCTATGTAGATCCCATGCCAAATAGATAAACTTTTTTCTTGTCTGCTGCCGTAGATTTTGACTAATTTGCACACTCAATGAGGGAGTAGCCCTTCAAGTGCCTGGCTTTATATAGGTATCTCAGTTTCAAATTTGCATCTTACACCAAGACCAGTGCCTCCTCCCTCAATGCCCTTTTGAGGCAAAATGCAAGCTTTTGGCTTAGTGCAATTAGCAACTCCTTTCTTGCTCCCAACACCTTCTCCTACCAGGCCAGCTTTTCGTTACACATTCTTATAGGGGAGGCCTTTGGGGTACTCAGTTGCAGGCAAGAGGGGTTGTGGAGGCCCTGAAATTCAAGGCTAGGAGGGAATATCTACTTCTTCAGCCTAGGAGGCTGAGTGCTCAGCCTACAGCAGCTTCTGGCTGGATGTCACAGGATGAATCTCCAAGGTTTCTTATCTGTCTACTCCTTCCTCCATTCATTTTACATTTGTGGTAAAGTTATTTCTTTCTCATCCTTTACCTTTCCCCATTGGCCTTTTGACAACAGCTGGGCCATTTTTCACTCTGTCTTCCTAACTCCAGTATATTTACTGAAAGATAAATGTGCTGTTTTATATCCTTCATACCACACACAGAGCCATTTACTTAGATTTCACAGCACAAAGATACATATATGAGAGCTGCACTGTCATCATCAAAATAGGTCTCATTTTGGAACTCACGGTATATCTCTCTCAGCCCACATCCCCATTCCTCACAGTCCCTTCTCAGATGGCACATCTTGGAATAGAGTGTCAGAACAATAAACTAACCTATTTCCATCAGGATAGCCCATTTGGAGAACAGTCCTGAACCAAGGGTCTTTGTCCAGCTTTGCCCCAACTTTGATCCAAGTGATCCTCAGCTTGCTCCTTGGGTCTTAAAACAACATCCTGCTGCCCCCCTGCCTCCATCTGACCCCCTCCAGGCCCAGCTTGCTTTTAGTAGAATCATATTCCCAGAACACACTTTTCTCATGTCTCACCCCGCTGTTTGGAAGCCCGCAGAGCACTTCCCAGGAAACAAGAGAGAGTTAGGCTCTCAAGTCAGGCTCCAGCCCTCTTTCAAAGCTGACCTAGCATAATGCAGAAGAAAAGGATTTGGAGCCCAACAGGTCTGAGTTTGAATCCTGGCTCAGCCACTTACAAGTTATGATTAGATGTGTGATATAACCTCCATGATCCTTTCTCATCTGTAAAATAAGGATGGTTAAACGTAGCTGACCAAGCTCTTGTAAACTGAAACAAGATGAAGTATGCATGCTACCTGGAACAGAGTAAAGTAGAGCTCCACTGGTGTGAATTCTGTCTTTGCAATTTCACCAGCCTTGCTGCAATCGCTGGATTCATGGCTGACAGACTCCAGGCTTGAGGTCTGGGTGTTGGTGACCCATAGTGCATGCAGGGTAGACACCGGTTGTTTGTTTTCCTCCAGTGCTGGATGGAATGTTCTGTGTGGGACAAGGGAACCTGTAGGGACTCAACCAGCCAAAAACTGAGCTGTTCTAGGGCCCTGCTTATGGTGCAGGACACTGGGACGCCCATGCCTGGCCACACCAGGACTTTGTTCCTGGGTTGCCCATAGTCTTGCTGAACTTTGCAAGGGAGAGTTCTTTTGAGTTGTGCTTCTGCCCTTTGAACCTGTTATCTTCAGAGTCATAAACCTGGTCCACTAGGCTATAAAAGCAGCTCATTCCAACACATTCTTCCTGCAGCCTGCTCCTTGCCATCCATCACACACCCTCACTGAACTAGAGGCCACCACCATGGCAAGGGACCAGAATGGAACCTGGGAGATGGAGAGTAATGAAAACTTTGAAGGCTACATGAAGGCCCTGGGTAAGGAGGAGACGGGATGGGGAGGGAAGTTGTTGTTGGGAGTACTGTGGTCTGGCCCTTCAGACAGTGCTGCTATGGAGACCTGTGTGCGAATCCTCATGCTTCATGTACAGCTATGAAATATTAGGCAGATCATAAAAACTCTCTGAGGCTCGGTTTTCTCATTTGGAAACTGGGAATAATGATAAATGAGATTATGTCTAGGATGCCTTGACACAGTGCCTGGCCCACAGAAAATGTACACTGAATGTGTATGTTAGGAGGACACACCCACACAGAGTGAAGCCTATTTGAGAGGGTAACACCATCGCTCCCCTGGCTCATGACCACCATCTCTTTGATAACCACTCAGACCTGTATTATCCACCAATGACCCCTGTGTTGCTCTTTTATGAGTCTTGTAATAGAGAAGCAGAAAAGAAATAGCTAGCACATCTCTCAGCCTAGGGAAAATCAAGTTCATGGAAGGCCACAGAGGCTTTTGTCAGATAGCACGAACAACCCACTGCTTATCTGACTTCTGAACTGGGTTCCAGGCCAAGGGCTACCAATCGGTATGTCTGAGTTCACCACAGGGTGGGTTCCCTGCGGAGCTGGCAGAAAACACATAGCCCTGCCCAGCCTACGGGTTCTACCTGAAACCAGAGTGAGTGGGTCCACAGAGGGGAGCTCAGTTGCTGGGTGGCTCCTGTGCTCCAGGTGCTGGGAAAGGGGCTTTGGTTGCCCATCCTTATTCTCTCCCTCAGCAGCCTCTTTATGTCCTCTTCTAGCTTCAAAGTTCTCCACACACGGAGTTACTTTGCTGGAACTTCCTCCACACATAGAATGAGAAAAATGGCAGTGGATGGAGTTAGAGGCCCAATAGTAACTTGCATATGATGGTGGGAGGTCTCTCCAAGAGTGGAAATTATGAGTTTTTCTTTGTGATAAACTTCTAGTTTGAAAATGTCCACCATCTCAACGAACAAGGAGAGCTGTGATAAGTTTCATAAGCTAAGCGCTTTCTTCATGTTCTTTAGACTGGTTTCCAACACTGAATAGCTTTCTTCTTCATTTCGTGAGCAGGATTTTTACCTCAATATGCTTGTGGGAAGGAAGAAAGAGGCAAAAATCCTCCTACCAGAGCCCCATCCTCAAACTTGTTGCAGCTGTGTTTTTCAGTACCAGGAGAGGCCAGCAGAAATGGCATTCTGATTCTACACATGAGTAAATGGATTGGAGCGTAGCTCGGAACCAGAGTTCTGAACAAGATAATACAGATGAGGACACCAAAGCAGAAGGGTCAGGATAGCTGGAACTAGAGCCCAGGGCTTGCTCTGGAACCTTGAACCAGTGTTTTAACCTTTTGGAACCTCAGTTTCCTCACCTGCAAATTAGGGATAACAGCCCCAGCCTTGTCTGTCCCTCCAGGTGACATTGGATGTAGCTGTGGTTTTGAGCAATCGAAAGTATTTAACGAGGGTTATTTGGAAGTTTCAAGGTTTCAGCAGTATGCTGAATAAGCCCGAGTTGAGTAATATAATTAGAAAGAAATCTTGTGTCTTTTGCTGCTCATACTTAAATAATAAAAAATCCTATGATGACTTAGATTCAAAATCTAGGCTTTGTTTAGTTTATGGCTCTGCAGAGTGGTCCCCAAAAGCCCAACTCTCTAGGCTTAAGGTGGGGGGCAAGCATTCCCACTACCCTTTCTTCTCCTGGGGGTCGAGAGGATGCACAGTACACATAACTCTCTCCAAGAAATCCTCCCTCTAATGATAGCCTTCCTCTGGACTCTTTTCACACCAGCTTACACCTTTAAGTGAGTTAGGGGCTCACAAGTTGTGAATGTGGTGTTTGGATATCTTCATCATTGAGGTTTCAGATTGAACTTCCTAATTCTCCTTGGTATCAAATATTTATTGTCTCTTAAAGCTTCAGCCAAAACTTCCAATTTAACATCACATTACATTGATTTCACTATGAGAAAATTGTTTGATCTCTTTGTCCAATGACCTCTGCAGTATAAAGTGTTAGGCTGACACTCCATTGATTAATACCACAGTTGGTACTACTAGCTAAACCCAGAGTGCGGATCTGTTGGTGCCTGATTTACCCAACTGCTGACAGCCCAGTGTCTCAGGACCCCAGGAACTTGCTCCTGCTCAAGCCTATGATGCCCTGTGCAAAAATGCCTCACCCAGAGTCATCTTATCATCACTGATGTGGGACCCCTTGTCCTTTTCAACCTGCCACAGGAAAGTGGGTGGGGCAGCCATGGCAGTGATTGAAGACAGGTCTCAGGGGGCTCAGCTAGAAGCAGGTGAGGTAGAGCCGCCCCTTCAATCTAACCTGCTAAAAGCAGCCCAACAGATCTCAACAGTTTCCTCCATGCCCAGGCCACAAGGCAGAGTTGCTTTCCCAACACTGAGATGTCAATGAAGCTTGCCTTCTTTACTCTTTGAGCAGTGAGACCCTTGGCATTTGGGAAGAACATGTGTAGACACCCCCAGAGGTGTAACTCTAGTTAAGGATGGTGCATATTTCCTGTCTAAGAATTATTGATTTCTAATTCTTTAACCCGCGGCACTAGAGAGTTCACTTTTTCTGTGAGCCTGGCTGTTGGTTCAGTAAGGAAAGAGCAACTCTATTGAGATGTGGGGTTGGGCAGTAAACTGGCTTTGTCACTAGGCCAGTGACTCACTCCACACACTGCAGAGTAACACATCATGGCAACCTTTGGATTTGCCACAGATTACATCATTAAGAGTTCAAAAGGTGAGTTAGCCAAGGGTCAATTGTACTTCCTCTCCTGCCTTCTTAGGCACCTGGTGTTTCTCAAGGCCCCAGATAATTTTGTGACAATGAAGAAACTAGTTGGTGAACACTTTTGCCCTGAGGAACTTGTCATGTCCTGAAGTAGGTCCTCCTTCAGGTCAGATGAGGGGATGAAGGAGTTGGTGGGATGGTCTTCATTTTAAAGGGGAGACCAAGGAGGACAGATATAAGGAGGTCCCAGTAATGTGAAAGAATACTGGGAAAGAGTTCATTAACTCTGCCCAGGTGGGCCTCATTCAACTCCTCCACCAACACTTTAGAAGGTGCCGTGGATGCCAGAGACTGGGCCATCTGAAGCAGAACCAGTCCTGGAATCTGTTCGCGAGGAGTTAAGGTACAGCCATGCACAAATGCTGTTCCTGTTCGCGAGGAGTTAAGGTACAGCCATGCACAAATGCTGTTCCTGTTCGCGAGGAGTTAAGGTACAGCCATGCACAAATGCTGTTCCTGTTCGCGAGGAGTTAAGGTACAGCCATGCACAAATGCTGTTCCTGTTCGCGAGGAGTTAAGGTACAGCCATGCACAAATGCTGTTCCTGTTCGCGAGGAGTTAAGGTACAGCCATGCACAAATGCTGTTCCTGTTCGTGAGGAGTTAAGGTACAGCCATGCACAAATGCTGTTCCTGTTCGCGAGGAGTTAAGGTACAGCCATGCACAAATGCTGTTCCTGTTCGTGAGGAGTTAAGGTACAGCCATGCACAAATGCTATTCCTGTTCGCGAGGAGTTAAGGTACAGCCATGCACAAATGCTATTCCTGTTCGCGAGGAGTTAAGGTACAGCCATGCACAAATGCTGTTCCTGTTTTTTATTCTGTGTAGTGCATAGCCCCCAAAATGTAGCGGCTTGAAATAACCACAGTCATTAAATTGTTATTTCTCATGGTTCTGGAGGCTGACTGGGGTCACCCTGATGGTTCTTGCTCAAAGGCTCTCATTTGGTTGCAATTGGACAGCAGCTGGGGCTGGAGCCATCTCAGGCTTCCTCACTCATATGCATGTCTGGTGACTGGTGCTGGCTGGCAGCTGAGACCTTAACTGGGGCTTCAACATCTACATATGATCTCCCCATGTGACCGGGGTTTTTTTTCACAATATGCTGGCTGTGTCCAAAGAGAAGAGATAGAAGATGCATGGCCTTTATGACCCACCTTCAGAAACTGCAGGTACCACTTCCGCCATATTCTATTGGTGGAAGTGGTACAAGCCTGCCTGAATTCAAAGGAAAGGGACATAGACCCCACCTCTTAGTGGGATGAATGTCAAAGTTGTACAGTAAGAACAGCGTGTAGGATGAAAAGTGTTGTCGCAGCCATTTAAGAAAATACAATCAGCCGTAGATGGGCCACTCCTGGGCTCGGAGGGGATAGAGTATCAACAGAACAATAGTAACAATAAGTGTGTGCATGGCGGTGAAGGGAGCTGCAGTACATGCGGTCAGCGAAGGCTTGCTGAGTACTTCTTGGTGGAGTTTTGAAGGAAGAACAGGAGTTCTCCAAGCAGAGATGGAGTCAAGCACAGCACCATGGGCATGTGCACAGGCATGGGCCTGGGACACCAGCAGGAGTTATATTACCAGAGGGTGAAGTGCAAGGAGGAGGCAAAAGAAGAGTCTGGAAGAGCAACAGGATCTTTAAGTCAGTATGCCACACATAACCTCACCCTGCCAGGGGAGGGCCTGGGAGGAAACTGTATGCAGAGGAGGGAGACACTATCAATGCTCACTCTGACAGCCTTGAAATGAATAGACCAGCAGACTGTCAGAGAACTGAAGAGGTTGTCACAACGGCCCTGGAAGGTGTTGAGAGCAGTACCCAGAAAGGGCAAACAGGGAGATGTCCAGAGCAGGAAATAGACTGGATTTGGTGACTGGAGGAGAAAGAGTCGGCCTAGAAAATGAAAAAAGCCATCACATAACTTTAACCAGTGAACATGGGGAAGCATGTGTCCGAATTAAATTTATACCTCTTCTAGGAAATTTTTATTCCATAAGTTGTAATTATTTGAGGAATACCCATCATTTCTTAATTCACAAAAGAAGGTGAGGATTATCTTCTATGAAGAACATCTTTTTCATGTACATGAACATGCACAGACTTAGTGCAGTGGCTATTGCAAACACTTCTAGCAGTTCTAGTGGCGCTCTGAAAGCTCCACTAGGAAGGGGGGAGCCTGGAGAGACTGAA